ACCCTCCCTCCTCTTCCCTCTCCCCACCCGGTGCCCATTCCTGCGCTCGGGGTTGGGGATCCGCGCCCCGCGTTTTCCGAGGACCGTCGGCACTCTGTGCGCTCGGGTGGCGATCCGCACCCCGCCCTCCCCGCGGGCGTTCCGCACTCCGCGCTCCCCACTCTCCGTTTCCACTCCTCCTCCAGCACCCGCGTCTCCTCCTGCTCGCCGGCGGCATCCCGCTCCCCCGCGCCCTGCTCGGATCCCGAGTCCGCTGCGCGCCAGGCGGCCGCCTGGTCATGTCAGGATGGAGATCCGGCAGCATGAGTGGCTCTCGGCCTCCCCCCACGAGGGCTTCGAGCAGATGAGGTTGAAAAGCCGCCCCAAGGAGCCCTCCCCGAGCCTGACCCGAGTGGGCGCGAACTTCTACAGCAGCGTCAAGCAGCAGGACTACAGCGCCAGCGTCTGGCTCCGCAGGAAAGATAAGCTGGAACACGTAAGGACCACTCGCCCTTGGGGCCTGGCCGCTCACCTGCCCCACACTCTGCCGGTCCCGCAGGGCTGGACGGTGTGCGCTACGGGTGCTGGGACACGGAGTGGGGACCCCCAGGGTGCTCGCATCCTCTGTGCGACCCTGGCCTTCTCCTGCACTTTTTTGCTTAATGATCCAGCTGCATGGAGAAGAGAAAGGTTCCCTTTCAGGGACTGTGCCCTGCACCCCTAGACTTCCCACCGGCTCGTAGCTTTAAGGGTGCATATCTGCTCTGTGATCTTGGGGTACCTGTGCAAAGTGAGCACAGAGTAGACATGTCCTAAGAGGGCTGCAAGTGGCCTTGCACAGTCTAGGGTTTCAGTGGGGTGCTTGCTTGGGTCTTTGGAGCTATGTGGCTCAGTGCAGAAACTACAAATTACTGCAAGTGTGAAGTTGTTGCTGGGGAGTCAGCGGGACCTGAGCTCAGGAGATAGAGAGAAATTTGGCAGTGTGTCCCCCGGGATGCTGGTGTGGGTGATAGCGAACCTCTCCACTGTAAGCCTGGAACGGAACAGAATGATCAAAGCTCCCCAGCAGCCTGCCACTCCGCAGACTCGGAGCCTGAGAGCGAGGATTCCCTTCCCCTTCTCCAAGTGAGAACTTGTGTCTTTCCCACTGGGACTGAGTCCCAGAGGCTGGTCATTCTAGAAGGAAAAAGTCCTTCTCAAAGGGCCTTTTGTGCATCCACACTTAGAAATCTACCTACCATTATCTTCTTAACTAGTGTTAATAGTGAAACAAAGAATCCGGAGTGTAGCACTGTTTGGTAAGGAAGGTAGAACCAGCAGGGCTGTGTCTTTCCACGAATGCTAATGGATTGCTGCTAATGGAATGTGGAGATCTCCTTGTTTCCAAATGGGTCACCACATCAACATGGATGAAAAGATAAAACCGAAAACTCCGGAAACTCACACGTTCCCCAATGCTGTACCACCTAAATCCCACCTGCCTCCCAGAGCTTTCCCTGAGTGTTGCGGCACAAATCCTAGGAGATGTGTGGAAAGGGGTGTTTCTGTTATAAGCTGAAAGGACAGTCCATGCCTTCTTTCTGGGGGCCTGATTAAACCACTGAAATGACTAATTCTAACGCTCTTATTTAAAGCTCTGAGTTGAGTAACAGGCTCTGTCATGCATACCCAGAGAGAGAAGGAAGCTTCAAATCCTTAAGACTGAAGTTGTTGCTGAGAGACTTTTAGGATGGAAAGTTGTTTATTTGTTTAAAAATGCACCTCTGGGATGATTGAAGTGAACAGTGATGTTTTGAGTTTATAGAGGGCAAACAGAAATAGCATCTTCGTGAAATTTAGTTCTGGGTGTTGATGAGAAAACTGCCCCTAACCTCAGGACTCAGAATTCTGATTGGGGTCTCAACATGCATGTGTGTTCAATTGCAGTATGTGCTCTTACCAAATCCATTTCCCCTATTCTCTTACTAACAATCAATAGTGCAACCTTCTATGACTATGTTGTCTTGAGTCACTTGCCATGGCATGCATTATCCCTGAATGCCTCCCCACTTTTAGATTGTCATTGAAAGTATTAGTTCTACCTTGTGGGTCACAGCAGCTTTTAAGTACAGGATGCTCAGCTCTCCTGAGGATTAGAGACCAAGCAAAGAAAGATCTGGTTGTTTGTGGGCATGTGAACATCTGTGCTGTCCTTCTCCATCATGCTCCACAGAGAGCATCGCCTTCTTTAAAAAAAAAAAAAAAATCAGTTGCCTCATTTGTTATTTAAATCAGTATCGTTTGTTTTGCTTTATCAACTGTTTCATAAGAGATATGTATTCCGTCCTCTATTACCTTCAATTAGAAGTGGGGGTTTGCTTCATGTAAATTTGTTTTATTTGCTTGCCCCTTTAAAATGCTGGTATTTTAACAAGTTAGTGTTTATTGAAGTGCTGTGAAAAAGTGAAGTCATGTAAAGACACAAATTTTATTTGAATTCATGCACACAGTATTTATATGTCATGTTTAAGACATTGTGATGTGTAGGCAGGTTTATGTTAATTTCTAATTCAGTATATGAGATTTAAAAGCCTATAGCAAATGTAACTTGGTACATACTTGCTATGCAAAGCGTAAATGTGTTATGTTAACTTCCTTACAGTGTGTGCTAAAGCTTCGGGAACCTTCTAGTTTAGATGATGCTGGAAGCCAACTGAGGGTGTCATAGAAATTCAAAGATGATGTATGGTGGTTTAAAAAACACCCTTCTGACCTGTCTAATCAAAGGGATGGCCACCATTTTTATTATGTTAAAAAATGAATAAATAATCTCAGTGGAGATCATATGCCTGAAAACAGCCTACTCAGTCATTTGGCTGGTGCTTTAAAAGCCAATCTAAGTATTAAGGGAATAAATAAATTATAACTTCAAATGACACACACGTTTAGTCATCACAATAATGGGATTCCCCGAGAAGTGATATGGCAGTGTGTGGATTTGAGCCAGGCTTCAGAGGTACAGCTTAGTCTGGAAGTCAATAACATGGTATAAAGTAACAACTGAGTAATGTATTTCTCCCCCCTCTGCTGAAAGTGAGAGTACGTTGTCTCTTATTTTGGCTTAAAGATATCAGGTGAATCCCAGGCTGGACAAGAGGAAAGTGGCGTGAGTTGGTTGAGAGTTGAAATACTTTCCATTGATCTTAAATTTGATTCCTGTCATTGGTTAGGGAATACAAAAGATGAAGATCTGTAAAGAAATAAATGGCTGTGATGGTACATGCTTGTAATCCTAGCACTGGGGAGGATCAGGCAGGGATAACCTGGACTACACAGTGAGTTCCAGACTGGCCTGGGTCCCAGAGTGAAAATCAGTCAATCAACCAATCATCAATAAGTGGCCAGACATGGTATGACAGGCCTGTAATCACAGTACTTGGGACACTAAGACAATAGGCTCTGTAGTTGAATGCCACCCTGGAATACAAAAGAAAATGTTATCCCAAAACTAACTGACTGACTGACTGACTCACGAATGAATGAATGAATGAATGAATGAAGAAATTTATGTAAAGAGTTCTGTAGTTTCTAAATCATGATTAGAATGTGCACAGAGTTCATGTTCTGAACCTCGAACTCCACATGTACACATGAGGAAAAAGTTAAATTGTTGACCACATACAGAAAATTGTCTTCTTAGTCGTGAGTACTGCTCTTGGTTCTTAGAATGTTTTGCTTTCTTTTCTGTGTCATAATTCTTATGGCTTTAGGAGACACTGGGCTTGGGAAGCAATGAAAATCTAATTTTTTATATAGGATTCAGCATTTGTTTGAGGAGTCATGTAAAAGATTCTGGTTTAGCAAAGCAACCTAGGTAGGAGCCACCCCTGGAGCCTCCTAATCCTCCTGGCTCTCCCAGACCTCCCTGGGTTGGGTTCCTTTGAGTATGACATTTAGATAGGATCGTTTCGTACCTGATGTTCTTCTTGACCTTTTTAGTATCTTTTTTAATTGGGAAGAAAGAGAGATATAGTCTGCACTGCTCAGTTGTCTGGTTCTGTGCCAGTTTGTGTTTGTAGGTGGTACTGATAGTCAAGAGATGCCTTGTTTTCTTCTCCTGTATATTCCATTGACTCTTGATAAAGTGGTTATAAACAGGGCTCTGGTTAGATAGACCTGGGTTTAGACTTTGACTCCACTTCCAGGAAACTGTACAACTATAGGCAAAGGGCTCATAGCCCCCAAGATGCACAATCATATGCCTGTTTAAAGAAGTCACAGATTTGCCTTCATGGTTCGATGAGGTCATTCCCTGTCTATATGGCAGGAACAAATGCCGCCTATGTGTCAGGCATGTTTTCTATAATCCTTCCCATCTGTATGAGCTGATGGGAACTCTTTTCTCAATCTCCCTGTCCTGGTACTTGTTGCACCTATTGCCAAAGCAACTTAGGAGAAGTTGGAGAATCAAGAGATTGCTCTTGAATCTTCCACCCACAAATAACGTACCTGTATAGCTCATACCTATTAGCCAAATAAATTTTCTTGGCCAGGGTTCATTTCAAAGGGATGGAGAAAGAGAATTCAACCAAGACCCAGAGAGAAGAGAAAAAAAACAAAAAAACATCTCTTCCTAGTCCTGGCTAGGACCATCACAGCATGCAAAGCACTCAGTATAGTGTTAGGCTCAGGGATGTGCCTACAGGTAAAGTGACTTCTTCCATCCTTCCAGGTCTTTGCCTAAGCCCCTCCACTCTTCCCAGATTTCACATTTGACACCATCCTCCCTTCACTGGACCCAAAGCATAAGGGGCTTTGGGGCAACAAGAATGGCCCCAATCCTGGGCCTGTTGCATTGTGTCTTTGCCTGGTTTCTAGGGGACTTGATACTTTCTGGCCAGTGGCTCTTTACTTACTCCTTGCCTGGTCATTCCTAGGCTAACGTTTTTGTTTCTTATACTCTCTAAGGGCAGCTGCAAGCATAGACCAGCTCTACACCAACCTATCTAACCCTTGATTACCTTCGCTGCTTATGCTGATAGGATTAAGTTGAGCAATATTTCATTAATTGCAAGATGGGTTCTGAAGAGGAGATTGGCATAGAATAATAGACAAGGGGCTAGAGAGGTGGCTCCGTTGGTAAAGTGCTTTCTGCATAAGCATAAGGACCTAAGTTTGGATCTCCAACACTTACATAAAATCTCAGAGCTACAGTGATTTTCTGTTACCTCAGAACTGGGAAGGGCGGAGACAGACACACCCCAGAGCTCACTGGCTAGCCAGTTTAGTTGATCTGGTGAAGCTCCAGGCTCAGTAAGAGATTCTGTCTCAAAAAATAAGGTAGAAAGTGACTAAAGAAAACACCTGACATTGACCTGTGGCCACATGCAAACACACATGTGCACACACACACATAACACACATGTACAGGGACACACAGAAGTACATATATACACAAACAAAGACGAAAAGACAATTCTTAATGTTCCCACTTGTAGAGAGTGTAGTATTTTGATT